AATGCTATGCCAGTGATTTAGATCCAGCATGGAGGGATTGTGAAGCTCAGTTCCTGAGACTGATGGTTCACGCCTCCAAGTGCATGAATCAGCCAGGGATGCTGCCATGGCAGCGTGCATGGTACCTAAGGGGAAAGAGCAATGTGTAATGCTCTCTAGCAAATCCCTTTTGGGGAACGCTTAGAGTAGTTCTAACGGGTTCCAGAGGGAGGGCTAGAGAGACAGTGAGTATAATGCAGAGAAAGTCCTTTCTAGTGATGTTGGGAGAGTAAAGGGTTAAGGCCCCAGTTCAGCAAAGCACTTACACACATGACTAGCTGTTTAAAGAGCTTAGCTGAACTGGAGCCAAATAGATGTCAGCAGAGCACTCAGCTAAAACATTGTTATACATTACTGGATACAGTTAAGAAAACCCTTCACAGTTCCTAAGCTTAGATAAAGCTTTTTTCTTACCGTTCTGTCCTATAGCATAGCTGTTCCCTATTAAGCAATTGTGACTCACCTGACAGGTGTCTACATTTGATAAGAGGGGCTATGTAAGAGAATGGGGCAACTTATGATGCTGATGATGATTTAAAGTCACAATCTATTTTTCAGATGGATCTGAATTTATCAGATGACTAGTGGACAACAGCAGAGGATAAGCGACACTGAACGACAAGTAAAGTCACATGCTAAAGAAATTAAACTTGCTCCAGGTTTTACGTCCTTCTACTATATTAAAGCCCAGTTGGAGCACAGGGCTCTCTGTTGTGAGTAGTACTGGGAGTTTAGACAGGGTGGGAAGCAGCATGCCACTTGGTGGTAAATGTTTTCAGGATCAGGCCCTTCATTTGGCCATTCATGGTGTTGTACATTATATTTATATGAAATATAGTTGGACATTTTGGGCCTAGTTCTCATTTACACTAGAACAGTCATCTGGCAGTAAAAGGGCCTTAAATTTGACATAAATATACATCTACTTCAAGGCCTTTTTATACTGCCAGAGTTTAAATGAGAATTGGACTGTTGGTGTCAATGTCCACAGGTGGTCAGTCACATTTCTCAGCATGGCTTTGTCTGATAGACTCCTTATTTCCCAGTGTCCTGTCTCATATTTGTGAGCAGGGCCAGTCCCTGATGTGCACTGTCTATGCTGTATGTTTTAATGATCGTGTTGTGTTTTGAGCTTCTGGTTAAGATAGCTCCAGGGTGAAGGAACCAGACATTTTCAGATAAGAGAATGGATGTCATTCCTGATTCACAGAGAGAAAGGGGACACACAGCAGGATTGCTTTCTATGGATGTTGGGGGCAGGGCGAGAGGGGGGAGAGCGAATGTACACGTTCCCACATCACACATGCCTTGCTTCTTATCAAGGGTTAGCGCACAGGCACTGCCCCTGTGTAGAGAGCAAGCATGGACTTGCCCTGCTCCAGGAAGAACCCAAGGAAGGATTGTGCCTCAGGATGGTGCACTCTACTCTGGCTAATTCACTTAACTCACTCTGTGGGTTGATGTAGGAGAGATGAAGACACGGTCACACCTATTTCCTGCCTCATTTGAGGCAACATGTGCTCGTGAGGTACATCAAGGGAGCAGTTCCTGTCCTCTCCAATCTACAGGGACTGCAATTACTCCTGGTGCCAAGGGCAATCTGGCCCTGTCATAAATATAAAGGGAAGGGTAACCACCCTTCTGTATACAGTGCTATAAAATCCCTCCTGGCCAGAGGCAACATCCCGTTACCTGTAAAGGGTTAAGAAGCTCAGCTAACCTGGCTGGCACCTGACCCAAAGGACCAATAAGGGGACAAGATACTTTCAGATCTTGGGGGTGGGGGGGTGGGGCTTTTGTTTATGCTCTTTGTTTAAGTGGTTGTTATCTCTTGGGACTGAGAGAGGCCAGGCAGAAATCCATCTTCTCCAACCCATCCTAATCCAAGTCTCCAATATTGCAACCAGTATAGGTAAATCAGGCAAGGCAGATTAGTTTAACTTTTGTTTTATGTGAATTTTCCCTGTGTTAAGAGGGAGGTTTATTCCTGTTTTCTGTAACTTTAAGGTTTTGCCCAGAGGGGGATCCTCTGTGTTTTGAATCTGAATACCCTGTAAAGTATTTTCCATCCTGATTTTACAGAGGTGATTCTTTTACCTTTTCTTTAATTAAAATTCTTCTTTTAAGAACCTGATTGATTTTTCATTGTTCTTAAGATCCAAGGGTTTGGGTCTGTGTTCACCTGTATAAATTGGTGAGGATTCTTATCAAGCCTTCTCCAGGAAAGGGGGTGTAGGGCTTGGGGGGATATTTTGGGGAAAGACGTCTCCAAGTGGTCTCTTTCCCTGTTCTTTGTTTGAAACGCTTAGTGGTGGCAGTATACTGTTCAAGGACAAGGCAAAGTTTGTACCTTGGGGAAGTTTTTAACCTAAGCTGGTAAGAATAAGCTTAGGGGGTCTTTCATGCAAGTCCTCACATCTGTACCCTAGAGTTCAAAGTGGGGAAGGAACCTTGACAGGCCCCAAATAAGGACAGGGCAGGTTGGTGTTGAGCAGCAACAGGAATCTTCCATTGGATCCGAGCCTGCAGCAACTGGAGTCAATGGCAAAACTTCTATTGGATTTAGTGGGAGCATGACTGGGTCCTTGCTAGCCAGCAAACTCCTCTCTGGGCCCAAACTCATGGAAAAATGGTGGGGGGGGAGGGAGGAGGAAATCTGTATTTGTTAGCAAGACAGGAGAACAGAATGTCTCAGTTTTACTAGTAATTCCGTGACACCCCAGCAAGCTGCCACGAGCACTAGCGGCATCCAGCAGTTGAGTAAAGGAAAAGATCACCCAGGAAGGCAGCCAAAGGGACAGACACAGTTCCATATGCTGCCGCTGATATCAAGTGCATTCCAGCTGGCATATGAATCCCTGCAGCTGCCAGACATATCCATGAGGAGCTAAGGGTGCCTTCCAATACTTGACCAGTGAAAGAGAAAAAAACCAATAGTGGCAGCAACAGGAGGAAGCATTGCCAAGTTAGGACAAAAATAATGTGTATGAGCTAATTTGCTTTGTAGTTTCTTTCCTATGTAGATGAAGCTACATTATGCCTTCAAGAAAGGAAATCCATATGTCCAAATGCCCAGAGCAAGATGCTGGTCTCATTAGCACTACTGTAAATCTGGATTAAACGCCATAAACCTCAGATGGGTTACTCTGGATTCATGCTGGTTTAACTGAGAGAAGAATTTGGCCCCTTTCTGACAGTTGTAGCTTTACCAGGTTGGCAGTTGGTGAGAAGAAGGCTGTTTATTTAGATATTCACTTCAGACTAGACTAGAGAAGTAAGCAATAATCAGGAAGTACCTTTTATAGATCCCCTAATAATCTAGGATCCCAGACTTCTGGGTCAGCCCAAAAGCTATGATTCACTGGAGCAAGTTGTGGTCTGCTTCACTCTGCTACAATATAATCTTCCATTTCTTAAATTATACATTGTTGTCTAAGTAAAGCAGTTTAAAAATAGACTTTAAGCTTTCTCATCTTAACTAAAACCTTAGGGATATTTTTCAATGAATTTTAGGTAGAATACTTAAGATTTTTTCACTTCTGGTCAGTATAACATTGAGCTGTTTACCTTCATTTGTAGGTGCAGGGGGGTGACCGTGGTGTTGAATAAAAGGTCCCTCTTCCCTGGCCAGAGCAGTTAGCCAAACTTTAATGTCTTGCTGGGCTGCTTCTCTTCGGATGAGAAATCAGCTACATGGGTCAGGTATAATCTTTAATGTAATCTTTTATTTATAAAAAATGTACACACAGTCCTGGTTCCCTGAACAGGGTAGAAATAGGGTGACCGTCCATCCCATTTTGGCCAGGACAGTCCCTTTTTTAAGCCCTGTCCTGGCCGTCCCGACTTTTTTGGCAAAACTCTCCGCATTTGTCCCATTTGCTCTTGCTAACTGATGATCTGTTGGCAAGAGCAAACAGGACAAATGCAGTTTTGCCAAAAAAGTGGGGTGTGACCCCTAGGAGGGCACAGAAGAACATGAAGGGGGCGGTGGGCAGAGCAGCAACGCCAGCCCTATGCGGGAGGAAGGGCTTGGGAGAGGGGCTGGGCCAGCCCTGTGCACAATGGGTACAAGGGGCCTCGGGCTGGCCCCACATGGGGGGAGCGGGGGACCTTTGGCCAGCCCTATGCAGAGTCCTAGTTTCGCTTTGGGAAAATATGGTCATCCTCCCTAGGTAGAAACAAACAGCAGGCAGTTTCCTTGCTCAGAAATTCCCAAGTCTGTCACTCCAATGAGGTCTGTGTCCAGCAAATCCTATCCCTCGACTTCCTCTCAGGACCACACTGAGAACTCGTCCAGCACACACAGCCTGCTCTTGATATCCTAGCCCCTACGCCTGCAATCAGGAAATCCCTCTGTCCACACAGTTTAGCGCTGACCTGCCATGTAGCCTATTGCCTTGGGGGCGGGGGAGGGGAGCACTTCCATTGTCTGAAGCTGCTTCTACTATGTAATTGGGCTTCATGCTATTTCTTTTGAGCCAGCAAGAGTTTGGCACACCCTATGTTCCAGAAACATCTTATGCCAGCCGGCAAGGGGGTACAGAAAGGATGTACAGGGATCACAAAGATCTCCTGTGTCTGGTATTCACAAGACACTCTTTTGGTGAACTGTATCACACTGATCAGCAGTAGCAACTCAAAACACACGTAAGGATGTTGTGCAAGAAGTTAAATATATACACTGAAAATCACATTCTTAAGGTCTGTGTCTAGGCACTGGTCACCAGGAAAGGTGAAAAATGAGCAAGAAATGTTCATTGGGCTGTTTACATGTAAATTAAGTATTGTACGGCTTACAATTGGCCTCTAGTCACCAGTCTGAAACAAATGCTGATGGATTGTGAATCTCTTTTCAAAGTTAGGTAAGAGGAAGAATTAAACAGTGGAGGAGTTGGGGAGGGGAGGAATGGGGAGGACTCTATCTTGAGGTGCATATGAAAGGTTTGTTCTGGTATATTTAGGGGATGAAGAAGACAACCGAGGAAGTAAATGGCCAGCAAGTTTTCTTCTTGAAAGAGGGGTCTCCTCCAGGCTTGGTTGAAAATGCTGGTGAGAACTTTGGGTGACACAAGCTTCTTTAGACAGGAGGTTTCAGAGTAACAGCCGTGTTAGTCTGTATTTGCAAAAAGAAAAGGAGTACTTGTGGCACCTTAGAGACTAACCAATTTATTTGAGCACAAGCTTTCGTGAGCTACAGCTCACTTCATCGGATGCATACTGTGGAAAGTGTAGAAGATCTTTTTATACACACAAAGCATGAAAAAATACCTCCCCACACCCCACTCTCCTGCTGGTAATAGCTTATCTAAAGTGACCACTCTCCTTACAATGTGTATGATAATCAAGGTGGGCCATTTCCAGCACAAATCCAGGGTTTAACAAGAACGTTTGGGGGGGGGGTAGGAAAAAACAAGGGGAAATAGGTTACCTTGCATAATGACTTAGCTACTCCCAGTCTCTATTCAAGCCTAAGTTAATTGTATCCAATTTGCAAATGAATTCCAATTCAGCAGTCTCTCGCTGGAGTCTGGATTTGAAGTTTTTTTGTTGTAATATCACAACTTTCATGTCTGTAATCGCGTGACCAGAGAGATTGAAGTGTTCTCCGACTGGTTTATGAATGTTATAATTCTTGACATCTGATTTGTGTCCATTTATTCTTTTATGTAGAGACTGTCCAGTTTGACCAATGTAAATGGCAGAGGGGCATTGCTGGCACATGATGGCATAGATCACATTGGTGGATGTGCAGGTGAACGAGCCTCTGATAGTGTGGCTGATGTTATTAGGCCCTGTGATGGTGTCCCCCGAATAGAGGTGCTGTTGTCATCATGAATAGGTCGGAATACGAACAAGAGGCTGCTCGGCAGCTCTCCAACACCACTTTCTACAAGCCATTACCCTCTGATCCCACTGAGAGTTACCAAAAGAAACTACAGCATTTGCTCAAGAAACTCCCTGAAAAAGCACAAGATCAAATCCGCACAGACACACCCCTGGAACCCCGACCTGGGATATTCTATCTACTACCCAAGATCCATAAACCTGGAAATCCTGGGCTCCCTATCATATCAGGCATTGGCACCCTGACAGCAGATTGTCTGGCTATGTAGACTCCCTCCTCAGGCCCTGCGCTACCAGCACTCCCAGCTACCACTGACTTCCTGAGGAAACTACAATCCATCGGTGATCTTCCTGAAAACACCATCCTGGCCACTATGGATGTAGAAGCCCTCTACACCAACATTCCACACAAAGATGGACTACAAGCCGTCAAGAACACTATCCCCGATAATGTCACGGCTAACCTGGTGGCTGAACTTTGTGACTTTGTCCTTACCCATAACTATTTTACATTTGGGGACAATGTATACCTTCAAATCAGTGGCACTACTATGGGTACCCACATGGCCCCACAGTATGCCAACATTTTTATGGCTGACTTAGAACAACGCTTCCTCAGCTCTCATCCCCTAACGCCCCTACTCTACTTGCACTACATTGATGACATCTTCATCATCTGGACCCATGGAAAAGAAGCCCTTGAGGAATTCCACCATGATTTAAACAGTTTCCATCCCACGATCATCCTCAGCCTGGTCCAGTCCACACAAGAGATCCACTTCCTGGACATTACAGTGCTAATAAACAATGGTCACATAAACACCGCCCTATACCGGAAACCTACTGACCGCTATTCCTACCTACATGCCTCCAGCTTTCACCCTGACCACACTACACGATCCATTGTCTACAGCCAAGCTATGCAATACAACTGCATTTGCTCCAACCCCTCAGACAGAGATAAACACCTACAAGATCTCTATCAAGCATTCTCACAACTACAATACCCACCTGCGGAAGTGAAGAAACAGATTGATAGACCCAGAAGAGTTCCCAGAAGTCACCTACTACAGGACAGGCCTAACAAAGGAAATAACAGAACGCCACTAGCCGTCACCTTCAGCCCCCAACTAAAACCCCTCCAACGCATTATTAAGGATCTACAACCTATCCCGAAGGATGACCCAACACTCTCACAAATCTTGGGAGACAGGCCAGTCCTTGCCTACAGACAGCCCCCCAACCTGAAGTAAATACTCACCAGCAACCACATACCACACAACAGAACCACTAACCCTGGAACCTATCCTTGCAACAAAGCCCGTTGCCAACTGTGCCCACATATCTATTCAGGGGACACCATCACAGAGCCTAATAACATCAGCCACATTATCAGAGGCTCGTTCACCTGCACATCCACCAATGTGATCTATGCCATCATGTGCCAGCAATGCCCCTCTGCCATTTACATTGGTCAAACTGGACAGTCTCTACGTAAAAGAATAAATGGACACAAATCAGATGTCAAGAATTATAACATTCATAAACCAGTCAGAGAACACTTCAATCTCTCTGGTCACGCGATTACAGACATGAAAGTTGTGATATTACAACAAAAAAACTTCAAATCCAGACTCCAATGACAGACTGCTGAATTGGAATTCATTTGCAAATTGGATACAATTAACTTAGGCTTGAATAGAGACTGGGAGTGGCTAAGTTATTATGCAAGGTAACCTATTTCCCCTCATTTTTTCCTACCTCCCCTCCCCCGAGACGTTCTTGTTAAACCCTGGATTTGTGCTGGAAATGGCCCACCTTGATTATCATACACATTGTAAGGAGAGTGGTCACTTTAGATAAGCTATTACCAGCAGGAGAGTGGGTTTGTGGGGGAGGGGAGGGGGCGTAAGAAAACCTGGATTTGTGCTGGAAATGGGCCAACTTGATTATCATACACATTGTAAGGAGAATGATCACTTTAGATAAGCTATTACCAGCAGGACAGTGGGGTGTGGGGAGGTATTTTTTCATGCTTTGTGTGTATAAAAAGATCTTCTACACTTTCCACAGTATGCATCCGATGAAGTGAGCTGTAGCTCACGAAAGCTTGTGCTCAAATAAATTGGTTAGTCTCTAAGGTGCCACAAGTACTCCTTTTCTTTTAGACAGGAGGATAACTTGTTAGTTAAGTTTAGCCTTTATAACAGTGGTGGGCAACCTGCGGCCCATCAGGATAATCTGCTGGCAGGCTGCCAGACAGTTTGTTTACATTTTCACGGCTGCCAGCATCTCCCAGTGGCATCAGTTCGCCGTTCCCGGCCAATGGGAGCTGTGGGAAGGGGCGGCCAGCACGTCCCTGTGGTCCGCACAGCTTCCTGCAGCTACCATTGGCCAGGAATGGTAAACCGCGGCCATGGGGAACTGCCGGCAGCCTTGCAAATGTAAACAAACTGTCTGGTGGCCTGCCAGCGGATTACCCTGATGGGCCGCAGGTTGCCTACCACTGCTCTAGAAAGTGTTTATGATTTTTATTTTATATGTATCCATTGGTTTCCAATGCTCTTACTCACTATCACTTGAATATCTATTGGGTTTTTTATTTTGTAACTTAGCTATATTTACAGTGAAAAACAAGACTAATCTGCTGGTGTGTAGGGTTCCTTTGGGAACAGCAGGTCTGCTAATTCTGTAAGTGTTCAGCGGATAAGGGACTGGACACTACAGAGAATGCTTCGAGGACACGGAGTTTGGTGTATGTTTATCACTAATGTGTAAAGAGGATGAGGCCTGGAGGGAAATGCTTGTCTTGCCAGTGACAGGTGATTTGAGGGAGCTGACCCCCGACAGGCACCGACAAGACTTCCTCCTACTAAGGGCAAGTGGTGGTGAGGGCCTCACAACCATGGGTACTCCTGGGGAGTGTTTCTCCCAGTGGTTTTAATCTGTGATTATCTTTGGCTCCAAAACTCCCTAGTACCTTTCATCCTACCAATACATTTTCCAAGGATTAGCCTGATTCCTCTGAAAATAAATGTCAAAATATTGATGAGTACTTTAGGATTTGTATTCCCAAATGGATCTAGAGACAGCACCAGTGGAATAAATCCCAGATCTAAGCATGGCTCAAGGCTCTAGGGCTCAATTATTTAGGCTCCTAACTGTTCCAAAAACTCCTGTTGAGGATCTGGGCCTAAATGTCTGTCTGCAACAGCAGATGTTGCCCTTAATCCTGTGTACTTGTATCAGCTTTTGGACTTCTCCATGCTTCTTATTTAAGGCTGCTCACCTCCATAGCCAGATGCTAGGCACCCCAAACATAGCCCATCTCTGGCTCCCCTCTTCTATCTTATGTTGTACGTGTTTGTTTAATTGTTCACTGTTTTTTCTCTCTTGTGTTAAATGTTTCTTTTTATTGTTTGTTTATGGGTTACTATCTTTTTTTTGTCTGCTAGAAACATTTATCTCATTTGTATTTGTACTTTCCCTAACTGAACACACAGCTCCTCTTTCCCTTTATTACCAAATTAACTTTGTTAGTGGTCCTGTGCATAAGGACAAGCTGCTTTCAAGGAATTCATAATGGATTCCAGTGGAAGAAGGCAACAGATTGGCTGATGTTAAATTGCCGGTAATGAGGGGTACTGACCAAAATCTTTCCCCAAAACTCAAATGGACTCTGAGCCAACAGCTTTTAATAATACTTTATAAGAAAAAGAACTCTTGATATTTGAAAGCTTTTGATTAGTTTGCTTTTCCATTATTTTAATTTTTCTGTCTAGTGCCTGAGGCTCTCTGCTTCTGTCCCTCAGGCATTTGTAAAGGGTCCCTCACTTAGCATTTAGGCACCTAATGAGTAATTTCAACAAATCGTTTATTGCTTGTCTGTAAAGCAGCTATTCATTCTGATCCTTCTGGAATATGGAGGGTGCAGGTCTTCAGAGAGTGAAATCTGACGTCTGCATGTGCACGCACACACACCCCCATGGAGTGGAAGGAGACAGGCTTACTATTAAGGGCAGACCTCTCAGAACAATTCAGCTTATAGATTTTTGCTTTTAGAGTCAGTTTTTGAAAGCTGAAAACCTTAATACAAAAAGTTTTCAGGTTTCAGCTTTTTGTCATAATAAACCTCCAAAATCTGTTGTGGAAAATACATTTTGTGAGCAGCTCCCCCTACTCCCCTGTGTCCTGCCTCTTTGCTCACCAAGCCTCATTCTGA